AATTATTAATAAATGGATTTTCTTCAAAAGTTAGATTGTTTATACTATGCTTGTATTGAAACAAGAGCTGGTTCTCTGGATTATTACGGGGAAAAACGGGCAATAAAACGAAAGAACTATCTAACAATGTTTCTAAGAGAGGCTTATACTGATTTTTGTCAGTTGCATCCTAAACATTGTTTAATTTTCCATATTTAGTGCTTTATGACTAAAAAATTTATTGCTACTGTAAAACTTAGAATCAAAACAAATATCATGAAATTTTTATTCTTTAACTGGAAGGCTAAAATTAAGTTTATGACAATACATGGTGATGGTAGAAGTATTTATGTATATAAAGTAAAAGAAATTTTGGATCTAATTGTTGGAAGGGTGCTTCTGATACTTACAAAAATTTCTCATTGCTTGTTATAGGTTTCTAACCATCATTTATTGTAGTTTGGTAACGATGAGAAAAAGATGACAATAGCTCACAATAAAAAATATATAATGGCAAATGTGCAAGAAGAATGTTTTGAAATAACTCTTGAAAATTGGACTAACTTTCAATAATACGTAAGAGTTAAAAGAATCCGAGGTGATACTTTCCAAACAAACATATCTAGCATTAAAACCAGGGAAATTCAAGTTGACTTTGCAATGGCATATTCTTTTGAATATCAAAACGAATTTCAATCAGCATTATGCTATCCAGCCACAGTTCCGTTATTCACAGCAGCTGTTGTCTTAGACGATACTCTCCTAAAGAGTTTAAAATAGAGTCCTTTACAATATTTTCCTAAGGCAAAGACAAAGGTGAAACAATGTCTACACTTTTATTTTAAGACTGTTTAAAAACGATTCTACTTCAGAAGATGAGCTAACAGAAACCTTCTATAGTAATAAGTCAAGTTAAGAATTTAAAAATAAATATATGGTTGAATTATTTCATATTTTGTCAATCAAAATATAAAAAAAGAAATTAATTTGGAAATATTTTACGATATCACATGCAGAAGTTCCTTCTATGGGATAGGTGTGTAGTACAAAATCTTGAAAGCGAAGCAAAAAGCAAAGTTATTTATATCATTGTGTTGTTATACAAAAAAATTTATTTGCTATCCAGTGTTGTTTGCAAAGCTAACCAATCAACTCATGCCTAATACAACAGTATTATATATTAGCCAAAAGGAAATAAAGATATTAATTGAAAAGATCAATACATGGCAACGGTAATACAAAGCATAAAATCTATGCATAAGTATCGTTAGATACTTGAATAAGATGCATAGATGCACATTGTGGCACACAAATAGTCAGTAAGTCAATTTCTGTTCCCTCCTGATCAGAAGTGCGCCTATAACTGAAATTAAAACGACATATGCTCTATCTCGGGAACATTATTGACGCAAATGCACATGCTTGTAAACTTAAAATGCAATATTTGCATAAAATAATTGGAAAATATGCATATTTTTGTTTCCAAACAGAAATGATTTTGAAGGAATAGATGTGCCTAAGATTTGCTATGTTTTACTCTCTAAACCAGTATAAAGAAGGGCTACAACCATCTTTCCAGACCATTAACTATTTTATTTGCTAAAATAAATTGTTTTTCTTCTGCTAAATTAAAATAAATAAATGTTTTAGTGCAACATTTATGACTTCTCAGTTGAAATATTCACAGAGGGTAACACACGTAACGTTCAGTTAACACACGTAAAAGGCCTGGTTTCTTAGGACAGGACGCCGTCAGCTGGAAATCAGCGTTAACCTCTGATTGGTCCATTTGTGAGTTTGATAGTATACGTCATCGAACGCTCATCTTGAACTACAATAACCGTCCAACTCAACTGCAGTTTGATTACAACGTGACGTTAACCACAGAAGCAATGGCGGACAACATCCTGTTGCACATTGAAATCAGCCAAGATTTTGATTTTACATTAAACATAGCTTCTTCATTAAATATAGCACTCTTCATTTAGCTCAGCTATAATGTGTTTTTTCTTGGACAAAGTCATTATTTGTTCTCTAAAACACTGGTCGACAATAACAAAATCAATACAAATTCAAAATAAATATTTGTTTACGTTATTAACGCATGCGCAATGAGAGATAGTGTCTGCGTTGGACCGACTGCTCACGCTGAGCTAACAAAAAAGTATTTTTCTGGCGTCAGCTCTACGTAAACTTTCCGCTGACGCCCAGATAAGGCGCTAGTTCTAAGAAACCAGGCCTTGAGCTAACAAACCAGTATTTTGTTGGCGTCAGCGTGACGTTGACGTCCCGCTGACGCCCAGATAAGGCGCTTGTCCTAAGAAACCAGACCTTAATGCACCAATTTCACCTAAATAAAGAAGTTTTTATTGTTGCAAGAAATTTTTAAAAATCACTAAACACAGCTTCGATATTGTATCTCTCTATAAAAGATAATATCTTAATTTTTTGCCTTTATACTTCACAGAATTAAATGAATATATTCAAAGTTTCAAATATCTAGCATTATAAAGGGTAACACACGTAACAAAATTTCAGAATTTTTTTTTTTTCAACATCAAATTAATTTGCGCCTTCAATCTTCGTTTTGAAAACTTACAACACATATAGATTTAACAACAAATTAAGAAAAACATAAAAAATATCTAACAAGTTTATTATAATAAGTGTTAAAGTTGAAATATGTCGTGTAAAAGTAACACACGTAACGAAAGAATCGCCCCATATATGAACAAGAAACAGCAGAGTTGCAAGCAAAAAAGAAAAAGTTATAAGAAGAAAAAGAAGTAGATGATAAGAAAATGGAAGAGGCTATGGGATCTTTAAAGCAGGAAACCAATGTCTTACAAGAAAAGAAAGACAAGTTAGAAGCTGAACTTGTGTAACTGAAAAATGTATCTGGTCAAATAAAATCAGAGATGGATCTGTCTCAATCAGAGCGTAACATATTGAAAAGTGAGGAAAGAAAAGAAAAAGAGAAGCTTGATTCGATTATTGCCAGTCATGAAGGAACAGTTCAGTCTTTAATGAATGAACAGAAACTTATGACGGTAGAGAACGAAAACTTAAGTGATCGAGATTTGGATGATCTTCACTGTCAAGTAGAAGAAGCAAAAGTCAAGGAAGCTACAACGAGAAATATTAAGAAGATTGGAGAAAAAGTTAAAAACGTTGAAATTCAAATGCAAGAAAATAAAGCGCATCTTGATAATTTGAGAAAACAGCAATCTACTTTAACAGATAAAGGGAAGGAAGTTCTTCAATTAATGGAAGAGAATAATGTTAAAGTAGCTGAGTTTAAAGAAAAGAGAGCCGAGTTCAAAAAAGAAATGGATAGCATTACACAAAAAGAACACAAACTAAAGCAAGCAGAAACAGAACATAAAAATCGGCTAAAAATGTTTGAATCCAGTAAAGTGGAGAAACGTCATATTATAAAATCATATAATGCAAAAATGTGCAAGCTTAAATTGAATGAAGTAGAGGAGGATCCAACTGTACTGCCATATTTGTCAAAAGAAAAAATACAGAAATTTACCGAAGCAGCTCTGTTAAATGAAATTGATCTCATTAAAGTGCAATTGGAAGACATGAAACTTGATTTATCTGCAATTAAGGAATTCAAGACTAAGCTTGGATTGTATGAAGCAAAGAATTGTATGAATTGTATAGATTGTATGAATTGTATAGATTGTATGAAGATAAAAATCTCCAGTGTAGACGATTTGATTATCTCAGCAACAGACGCAGCAATGAACTCAAGACAGGATCTTTAATTATTCCATTTAGTCGTCAAACGACTCATTGAACAGGAACACTTAGTAAATAAACATGCTGGAACTTTAGCAATTTTAAGAGAAAGATTTTGGATCATCAAAAGAATGAAAACTATTCGCCCCGCCATTAAAGACAGCATTACCTGTAAAGGACAAAGGGTCAAAAATCTCGAAGTTCCATTCCCACCTTTACCTCAAGATCGAACTAAATTATCTTCTGGTTTTGAAGTGACTGGTGTTGATTTGGCCGGGCCCTTGAGAGAATTTGAAGTTTGCCAGATCAGGTGGAAGTTCAACCCACCAGCCTCCTCATGGTGGGGAGGATTTTAGGAAAGACTCATTGGTATCCTTAAAGACCTTAAGAAAAATATAGGATGCTCATCTTTAACGTATGAAGAACTATTGACTCTAACATTAACTATTATTTTGGACATTAAATACACATTTTTGTCTTTTAAAATTCTTTAAATTTTATATCATAACAATTGCATGTCTGCCATAATTTTAGTATTTTTTGTGATTTATTGTGTTGAGTTTTGTCCTATATAAAACTCAAGTGGGGAGAATGTTGCGGCAAATACGAACTCCAAGTAGTTTGCGCCACCAAAATTATTCGGAATATGTAGGTTACTCTGAGTATGACAAGAGATTTAAGAGAAAACTGGAAATATTGTTGGACGGGCTTTTGAAATATTTTTGGAACGCTTTGTTTTTTTGTTGTTGTTTTTTATTCAAAATAAATATTTTCTTTTTACCTGTTTTTAAACGTTGTAAATCTATAGACAAGATGCCTCCCACAAACAAAGTCAATCCGGTTAGGAACGACAGTTACCTATGAGGTCGAAGACGTTGCATTTTTCACAAAGCGTAAAACAACGGACATCGTGAACGTGATGCGCATGAAACCATACTATGATCCATCACGTCAATTAGAACCCTTTGAAAATTAAATTTTCCTCTAAGACCAATTTAAGCCAGAGTAAGATAGAATATCAAGGTCCTATAACCAGATCCCACTCCAGAGGCCCCATAAACTGAAACAATGATGATATTGTCCCCATAAATTGAAACATCGAACTGTGTTTTCTAAACAGGATGTTGTATCGTGTGTCTGAGTAGCCAAGTAGTGAAAGTCATCATCGTTACGAATCAGAGGTTCGGAGTTCTATCCTCCCAGATGAAATAAAATGTAACTATATATATATATGCTATTTAAGATTTTATTAATTATATGATTGCCTTCTACAAGCTACTATTGCATAATTTCCTGTTTACTATTTAATTGTATATAAGTTCATGCGTTCACAGTTACTCTGTTCCATATACGTCGAGCGTGATCAATAAATCAGGGTCATTTGTCATCTGGATTCTGTTTGTTTCTGTGAGTCAATATTACTATCTTTTCTGTGGAAATCCAGTTCCTTAAAAATTACAATATTATTAATAAGAAAAATTAAAACACTAATACACTATTATCAGTAATACATCTAAATCACGTAGCGAATTTCGAATTATTTAAAACTTCACACCTGAAAGATAAAAGTATTTATTTTTAGTTCTTTTAATAATTTTTGGTTTCGAAATATTATACTCTTTTGAAATCTGAATTGGAAAACAATATTTTTTTTCACATTATTTTAAAGAATTTTTAAGACACGAAATTAAAAGGCTTCTGAATAAATTAAATTCAGAATTCTTATTTGTAATATTGTTTTTTTCGGTAACTAGTTCTCCTAGTTTTCTGAAATTTGGAATTTTGTTTTTTTAATTACATTGTCAAAAACAATATGAACTAGTGAGCTGAATCCATTGTTTGTTGACGTGCTCCGATCCCAGAAGATTATTAGGCAATCTTATATGACTTGCTTTGAATAAGCCATGCTCGCTGCACTCGCCACTAAGTTAAACCCAATAGAAATGTGGTCGAACGTAAATTATCAAGAATTTAAATAAATTATTGAAAACTTTAATACTAATTCCACTTTAAGAATTAAACTTTTTGTATGTAATAAGCTATTGAAATAAAAAAAGAATAAATTCAAATTCTCTCACTGTCTTTGTGTCTAAGTTCGAAACTTAAATATTGTCTATTGTAAATAAATGATGTCTCGAAATTTAACCTTAATATAAAAAGTATCGTTTCTAAAATGTTAAACAAAAAATATTTATTTCTCAAAAATTTATACTTTCATTCTTTAGTAGCATGTTTTAGTTAGAGTTTTGAATGTAATTTTGAGTTTAAAAAAAATACTTTCACATAGTTCATCCAATCATTTAATACAAAGGCGAATAATTACTCACCGTCTTATTGTATTTCAGCTGAAAAATATTATTTAAGAAAATAAAATATTTACATGTAGTGAAATCCCAACAATAATACACATTCATCACTGATACAGCGATATATTTGGAAGGGAGAAAATATTGAACTTTCAGATTTATGATTTTTAGCTTAAAAATATTGTGATTCAAATTTGTACAACGATATATTTGTTTCATTATGCGAAAGCATTTTTGAAGCTCAAAATTAAAAAAACTTTTGAGTAAATAGCATTTTAAAATTCTCATTTGAAGTTCATGTTTACGAGAGCTCTTTTATTTTATTTTGTAACTGGTTATGTAACTGATTACTGTTACCCGCATTTGCATTACATGGAGAAGAAAACCACGAAAACGTACGGAATTCGTATTAACCAAATATCGTTGGATTCGATCCCTGGTCACCTAATTGCGAGGCGAGTTCAATATCTTCTGAGCCTCCATAGCTCTATGAGAACTATTTGACAGATGTCTCTAAAATATTGAGTGTGATGTTAATATTATAAAAATAATATAAATATTCACATACATTACTATTTAAAAAGTTTAGCTCTCCTGATTTATGTCACCATATTTTCTAGATAGCGACAACCTGCATTTTAAAAGTCAAAATCCTCCGAATTTCTTTTTCTTTCTTACAGAAAAAAATCGTTTATCTGCTCATAAATTAAAACATTTTCTGAACTGAATAAACGCATGTGAGTTATGACTTTATAACGTTTCGCGTAGGAAGGATTGATCTGTGTAATAACTTACATGTATTGAATAAATTATACGCATGTAGAAGTTTGGAATCTGTAACGATTAGGGGAGGAAGGATTGGTCTTTGTAATCACTTTAATTTACTTTAGTGCAACCCTGATAAGTGAAATAAGTCTTGCAAATAATGTAATAACATAAAAAGTTTCATTATTCTAAACAAAATTGTTTTCCTCAAAAAATTTGATACTATCGTCCATGGCGTGGAGTTAAGTATTAATTTCCTACTTAGATTTGGAATTCACTGAATTTAAAAGTATTTTCACCTAATTCATCAGATCATGTAAAAATAATAAAAACCACTTACAAGGCATATATGCACCTGGGGTCTCCATAAGTTGATCTAAAAATAAAACGATTTTGTATAAAGTTTGTTTTACATTTATCGTAACATTGTCCTTAGTTTCTACCCCTGAAGTACGCTGTGATTGGTTGAGAAAATGTTTGCTCTTACGATGTGAACCTCAAATAGAGCTTAGCGAAACTCTAATAAATACTAATAATAACAATAATTTAAATTACAGAAGAAAAAGATAATTCTAAGAGAGTTTAGACCAATTCAGAAAATTAATAAAAAGATCCTTCACAACTCCATATATCGATGTACAACATTTGTTTTTTATGTGTTTTCATCGATATTTTTTAATATGTTTCATTTGAAAGCAAAGATTCTAATAAAACAGAGACATTTCTTTTGCGCACACTACGATTACAGTGTTTGTGAGATTGACCGTATTGGAGGAGAGATTGTTAGTAGTTATAACTACAATTATGCCGTTAACAGTAATGCTTAAACTTAAGTAGCGTAGCTTTAAGGTTAAAGCGAACAAATACAGGGTGAGTCATTAAAAAATATGCATCTTCCATCAAAGGTCGGAAAACTAAATTATTTTTGTAGTTTACTGCAACTAAAAATTTTGTTAACTACATTTGTTTTTGAATGTAGTGATTACAAACTGCTTCGCGGAACTGAATTTTGTTGGTGAAATTAATTTACGTCAGTATAATTTACACCGCTGAAGAAATTAATTTACATATTATGTGCAAAATGGCTTTAAATTAAAAAAAATTAGCTTATATTAAACAAGCAGACTTATTTAATATTTATTCATGCTTAAATGATCCAGTTTGTTATTCTAAAATATTTCTTCGATTTCGTTCATTTAATCTTCAATTTTTTAAGTCTTTCTCGACAGCAAACATGATGAAAATTAAGAAATGCTACGAAATTATCAAATAATCGCAATTTCGTTAAAGGATCAATGCTTCTTATTTCCTCTAAGAAATTAAGAATATTAAAAATATGTTCTTTCCTTTGAAATAACATCAATGTTTCATGAATGTACATTCCAAGGCTAAAATATCTGTTAAAATATCATACTGATAAAATATCTATTATTTGTAAAGGCTTGCTTAAATATTAGTTATATGTGACTCTAAATACTCAATTCTTGTTAACTTATTGTCACAGTGGTATTTTAAATTGTACAACTGAAAAATGATAGATATTATATGTTACCTGCAACAGAATTGTATAGGATTAATTTAAGTTTAGATCGAAACAATTGCTGATATTCTATTTGTGACTTCTTAGTCACTTTAGATTGACACGCATAGAGCCGATAATCTATTTTCCCCTCAATGCGTGTTGAGGTATCTGAATTACATTCATCGATAGTGATCAATCTCGCTTAGTTTTTCACTGATGACGAGGCATTCCGCGTCAGTGTTCTGCGTTAAATCCAGAAAGAACGTTTTCGGCCACTTCTTCCATCAAAAGCAAATTGTCAGGGAAGCCACTTTTTTGGATCAGTTAACTCATTGTTGATGTCACACTTGCAGGACAATGTTGAAAACTTCATTCTTCAAATCGATGAAACACTACCGCACAGGTCGGACAGCATTCCCCTTTCTGATCTGAACATTGCGAAATCCATCTGAGCTAAGAGAGACTTCCTCATCTCCCCTAACTAGCCTGAACTCTCCAATTTTTCTTATTTCTTTATTTTTAAGTGTGATTATAAGTAAAATAATTTTCACACGCTTACCTTGGTGTAAAAATGTTCATTTTGCAAATGTTTAGTTTATGAAATCATTTCGAAACATTAAAAATTACTCACTCGCAAGGCCATTTACTACAAAAATAGATAAAAAAATAAACAAATAAAAAGAAAATATTAACAATAAATAAATTGAAATTACAACAGGTCAAATAAATCAGTAATCTGTTTCACCCGACTGTGATTGCATTTTTTGACTCTGATTGCAGTCACGCACGAGCGCATGTGTACGTTATAACTATTCGGCTGTTGTAAACACCACATTAAAAGTCAGCAACGACTTTTAATTCATTCTTGGTGATGATCAGCAATAATGGTGCATGCTTACAATACATTACCAAAATAAAGATAGGAGGATATGTGGTGATAGTAATAACCCAAACGAGGGAAGATTCAAAAAATTATTTTTTTTTCTTTTTGCATAACTGAAGTATTGTGTTTTTAGGAATAATTTAAATTATGAAATTATTTTGGTAAATATTAAAAGGATGTGCTTAATTATAGTGATAATTTCACAAATTTCATTAAAAAAATTGAAAGATAAGTTTCCCGTTTAAAATGGAGGCATTAATTAAATGCTAATTGAAAATTAACTTGTTCAACATTAAAATATACACTTCGAGCTTTAAAGTGATATTAAATATGTCATATATTTGAAATTTCAACATCTCGCTTTACTTTTCTTAGGTTCGCCCTATAGTAAATCGCAAAACATGGAATTAAAGCTGCACTAATGGTCTTAATTTCTACTATTATAATTACTAATATTTTAGTAGAATGACGTCATTGTTTAAAATTCTGCGTAGTGCTGTAACTCAAACACAGAACAAAAGCAAATAAAAGTGCCGAAATCTTTGAAATATTCAAAAATACTCACCAGAGCGTACCACTTTATAGAATAAATAAAGAAAAAAATTAGAAATTAAATATGAGTTTTAACATTAAGTCATGAATTGTAATTCTTGAAAAATGAATCAAAATTTTTTTCTTTATATTTTGTATTTCTTCAGATTTTGTGTAAATTAGTTATATTTTTCATTGTTTTGCAAAATATTACTAAATTTTAAATATAAAAGTTAGCATATATGAAAGCAGACAGTATTTCATTCCAGTGTGGAGAAATATTATGTGAAAATGATGATTTAAAACCACTTTTAGCAAGAATTACATTTTTTTAAAATCGCTACATTTGCGTTCCCGAGAATAATCTAAATTAGATTACCCCGAAAAATATTAAAGAAAAACAAAATATACTTATTATTGTTTAACTTTTATCTAAAAATGATATTTAATTTTTAAAATGATATTTAAACTGAAAATTATACTTAAATCAAATACATAACAATGAAAAAAGTTTAATGATAAAAGTTAAATGAAAAAAGTTTAATGACGCGATAAATAAAAGCATTTTTGATATTATTGTATATTCAGTGAATAATATTGGTGTTATAAGGAATATAATTTTTAGCTGTTTAAAGATCCGGCAATTTTACTCCGATAATATTTCGTTACAGAGAGTGGAGTTGAAGTTTTCTCAGCTATTAAAAGCTCATGACTTATGACGTATTGTGTGTTACATTTGCAAAAGAGTTACTAGAATCTAACATTTTCGACACTGATGAAAAAGTAATAAACTAAATATTTATTCATAGGAATTAATAATGATGTTCTAAAATATGCTTAACTGATCATTTTACATAAAATTCCATTGTAGAATTTAGAATTTATGCATGCTCTCCGTTTACTTATTTTATCAAAAGCAGGGAAACAAACTAAAACAAACTATGTTTTTTTAAAATATTCCATACAAACTTTTGTTCGGATCCTGGAATTTTTGGTATTTAACTGGAATTTTTGGTAAATCAACAAATATAAGTTATCAGAGAAATGGCAGCTGATTCAAAACTTAATACTTTTCCTTAGACCAGTGTTTCCCATACATATGACTTTTGTGTACCCTTTCTAAATTTTTCGTAGCGCTGTGTACCACAAATATAAAATGAATGTATTTTATACTATAAAAATTTCCACAAAAGTTAAAAATCACAACTGGCTGTTGACACCACTAATTATGAACTGTTAACTCTGCAAAAAATAGCCAATAGAAAAATACGTAATCGTAAATTTTCACTTCTAGCTTTGTTTTTAAATAAAAATTTTTTGAAATTTTCGTTTTTTGCAAGATATTTCGCATAAGAGCGAGTACCCCCGTTAAACTGTTCCCGTACCCCTAGGGGTACGCGCACCACACTTTGGGAAACACTGCCTTAGACTGACAAGATTTTTAAAAAAATCATCGTTCGTTCTCTATCTCTGGAAGTTAATTAACACTAGAAAACGCGAGTGTCTCAAAGTAACCTCACCTGTAACAGAATAGCCATATTTTAGAATAGTTTATTACTGCATTTTAAAAAATTATATAATACTCACAAGAATCCATTATTTCTGACATGTCATCTAAAAATAAATTGTTATTAATAATATAAATTGTTGTTAATAAGATAATTAATTTGAAAACATAACACATATCAATCAGTGATACAAATTAACAACATCGTAAATTTCGAAATATTTAAATTTTCATTATATGGGAGAGAAAAAGTTAAAATTATCATAAAAATGGTAAGTTATCGCGTTTTTAATGTTCTTATCAATTTTCTTGCTCGTGGTGAATTAATTTTAGCAGGTATTATTTTTTGTATTAAAATATCGTATTCCGTTAAAACTGAATTACAATTTTTTTTTCATGACCTCATAGTATTTTTGACAACGTTCAAATTTATCTGGGAAAAAAATCGCATTTCTAATTAATTTTTCTGGAACTATTTAAACGATATTGATGAAATTATATGTTGGTTATTAATTAATCTTATGTAATCACGTTTGCTTAATGAAGCCAACACAGAAAATAAATATTTGTCACCAGTTTAAATGGTTTGTTCCATTAGCTGACATTACTAAGGCCCTAATTGACCACTGTAGTTCAAGCTGTAGATTCATCTTCGGCTGTGATGCAAATGATCACCACACAGTGTGGGGTAGCAGCGATTGTAACCAGCGGGGTGATGTACTCATGGAACATATCTTACATTTTAATTTGTATGTCCTTAATGAAGGCAATGAACCTACCTTTGTTACTTGTAACAGAAGGGAAGTCATTGACCTTACTTTATGTAACTCTAGTTCAGTAGATTACGTTACTGATTGGAAGGTATCTGGGGCAGTTACTGCTTCAGATCACCAACTAATTACTTTTTCTATTAAAGGCCTCTCAGGTCTGAAGGTCGTAAGGAGGAACCCCAGAACAGCTGATTGAGGTTCCTTTAGAGCAGCTATGGAGAGGAAGATAGGGAGCTTCTCTGGTAAGTACAATAATGTTAATGAAGTGGAGAGTGGACAGTTGACCACGTGCAACAGATCATACTCGATTCATATCATATTTCTTGTCAGGTTACGTCTACTAGCTCCCCAAGACGAGTTCCTTGGTGGTCTTCTGAGCATAGTAAATTACGTAAGAAATGTAGGAAGTTATTTAACAGAGCAAAGAAATCTGGAGAATGGCAGTCCTACAGAAACGCTCTAACTGCTTTTAACAAGGCGATCAGAGCATCTAAACGTCGCTCATGGCAGATTTTCTGCGATGGTATTAACACTACTTCTTCCACCGCAAAGATTGCAAAAATTCTTACTAAAGACTTCAATTGCAGTTTAAATGCCATCCGTCTTACAAACGGAAGATACAGTGAATCAGGGGAAGAGGCTGTTGGAGAACTATTTGAAGCACACTTCCCTGGATCTAATCCTGTGGAGAATGAAAATCTACATATTATTACCACAATTACTTGTAGTAGGAATGACTGGGAGGCCGTCAAGACGGTGATCTCCTATGAGAAGGTTGTATGGACCTTAAAGTCGTTTAAGCCTACAAGTCATCAGGCATGTATGCCATCATACCAATGATGCTTATCCAGGGGGTGAATATACTGGCCTCTATTCTATGTAGGATTTTTCGATCCTGTATAGCATTTGGGTATATACCTCTCTCTTGGAGGAATACCAGGGTGATTTTTCATGCCAAAGCCAGCTAAGGAGAATTACTTTGAGGCTAAATCATTCAAACCAATCTTCCTCACTTCCTGTCTGTTGAAAGCGATCGAAAAGCTAATTGACAGATACTTCAGAGACACTGTGCTCATAGAAAGGCCACTGTCCTCCACACAGCATGCCTATCAACTAGGCAAGTCTACAGACACTGCTCTGTATGAGCTCTCCTACCTGTTTGAGAAATCTATCACAGATAAGGAGATGGCTCTTGCGGTATTCATTGATATCGAAGGTGCGTTTGATAAAGTCCCTCTTGAGACTATCATCAATGTACTTAGGAACAGAGGCATAAACTCAATAATTACCAGGTGGATAGCGAATTTGTTATCCTCTAGGTATGTTTGTTCCTCTCTATTGTGTACAAGCATGAAAGTGCACGCAACCGCAGGATGCCTCCAGGAATGGGTTCTGTCCCTTATCCTATGGTGTGTGGTAATGGACTCCATGTTAGTTCGGTTAACTGCTATTGGCATTCCATGTATCGGGTACGCTGATGACGGTGTTATTGTTGTCAGAGGCAAACATGGAAAACAGTCTCTGATATGAATAATGCACTTCTAGAAGTAGCTAGATGGTGCTCTGAATCAGGCTTATCTGTCAGTCCATCCAAGATAAGCCTTCAAACGAAAAAGGCAACTTGATCTAGGTAATGTATACTATCTGGACCATACATTGGAACTCACGGAGAAAGTCAAGTTTCTTGGGGTTTATTTTGACTCCAAACTAAATTGGGGTCATCAACTTGAATACTCTACCAACAGGGCCAGAAAGATTTTCTGGTCTTGAGAAATGCTATTGGTAGAACCTGGGGACTGTCCCCCAAAATAGTTTACTGGATATACTCAATGATTATTAGTCCTATCATCACTTATGGCGCAATCATCTGGTGGTCAAGGACTAGATTGAGCTCCGCAAGGTTTAATCTTAACAGACTACAAAGAATGATCTGTGTAGCCCTGTCAGGCTGTTTCAGGACCACTCCTACAGCTGCTCTAGAGAGCTTACTTGGGCTTCTACGCATTGAAGTTGAAGCTCAATCAGGCGTAAAGCGTCTTATGTACCTTGGCCTATGGAAAGAGTATTCCAAGCCCTTGTCATGGGGACATCTTGTTTCACAAGTGGTGGATTTACAATCTTTTATTATGCCTAGTGATTGTATGTCACTAAGATACGCTTTTCACAAGCCCTTCAAGATCCATTTTCCTACTAGAGATTAATGGTTTAATTCTCCTCGGTGGCTTAAAAGCAAATGCAAATATGGTACACTGATGGTTCAAAGATTGGTGCCAAATCAGGAGCAGGAATTTATTGCTCCAATGACGGTACCAAACTTCAATTTCCCCTGGGAAACAATGCTACGGTTTTTCAGGCTGAGGTCTATGCCATTATCTTGTACTGCAAGTTATGCTTAGACAAGAGATATCAAAATACGACCATCTGCATCTGTTCTGACAGTCAGGCTGCTCTCCTATCACTGTCAAGGTGTAAATTCACCTCTTTGTTAGTGTGGGAATACTTCTTGGCCCTCTGTGACCTGTCCGCTCATAACAAGGTATCCCTGCATTGGGAGCTGGACATATGGGTATTGGCGGAAATGAGTTAGCTGAAGAAGCAGCAAGGGCTGGCTCTATCGCAATTTTCTGGGGCCCTGAACCTGCGCTGGGAATTTCTCCCTCCTCATTTAGGGCAACCATTTTCAAGCTATACGGCAAGATTGCCCATGAGCAATGGCGCGCTGCTGGCGGTCAGAGACAAGCTAAGGAGCTGAATCGAGATTGTCCTAGTGTACGTCAAAAGGAGCTCTTAAAGCTTAATAGAAATAGTATAAGGAAGATCATAGGTCTTCTTACTGGTCACTGTACCCTCAGGAGACACCTACACATTATGGGAATAGAATCCAATTCTCTTTGTCGGGGTTGTCATATAGAAGAAGAGACATCACGACACATGCTTTGTGATTGTGATGTCTATTCTGCTCAAATATTTGAGCATTTAGGGCAGTATTGCGTCAATGCCTGGGAGCTGCAAGATGTTCCTGTAAGGTGCTTGCTGAATTTTATTTCAGCTATAGAGCTTTCTTGCTAATCAGGACTAGCGTTTGGGTACAATAGACCTCTGGTCGATGTGCCCTGCTCGTCAGAGCTGCCCAACCTCTAAGTCTAAGTCTAATATGGTTTGTTGCCTTTAATTTTGATACCATATTTTCCAGATAGCAATAAGGTATGCGAAAATCGGTATCGACTTAAAAGAAAGTTATTTTATTGTTAAAAGTTGCTAAGCCTTTTTGCGTCTTATTTCGCAAACTAACGGTTACAAAGACTAGCCAAAAAAGAAAAGAGGTTAAAGAGTTACCCTCGGGAATATGTTTATTGGCTAAAAACACATTTATAACCATCGCTAAGTAACAAGAAGCTTTGCTCTGCTTGATGTTTGGTTTCTTATGCATGATCCTTTATCGTTGTTCAAATTCAATTCATTAAATTATTCACAAACTATTGATGAACTGCGGTGTGATAGAAGTTCAACTGAAAGCTCTGGGTGGGTAGGAGGTTGAATGGACCCATTGCCATGGAAATTATCTGAGTGTATATATA